CACACACACTACGCACACACACACAACAACGCACACACACACACCACACACACACACACACACTCACACACACACGCACACACACACACACACACACACACACACACACACACACACACAACAACACACCACCACACAGTTCTTAGACGTAAATCACTTTCCTTCATAACGTTCATAAGGCCATTTATGACCATCTCTTGGGTCACATTTGGCACGCGGTTCATGAGTTCGACACACCTGGTGTAAGTGATAATCCTGAAAGACGAAGAACTGGATTAATTAATCATGTAAAACGACCGACTGTAATACTGAAATAGTAAATGTTTCGGGCCGCACTCCTGGATTAGGTTGTCTGCATCGGTTACAGCGAGGAGGGAGAGAGATAGGTAACGGGGCTGTGGTAGAGATTGGGGTGACTAGATTTAGAATCGCAGAAGAATTTGAGAGAGGAAGGGGTTATTAGTGTATATGTAAGCTGGAGAGGAATAAATAGGGAGATATAAAAACATTTTGGGAAGAAGAGGAAGGGGCGGAGTGAAAGGCAGCACTTTGAGTAGGTGCAGAGTAAGAGAAAAATCTCGGCAACGTGCTGAATTTGAATCTAAGAATTGCCACCTCAGACTCAGACTTGTAAGAAGGACAGCCACTATATAGTACATTATGGGAGCCTTCACAACTGGCACATGTGCATGGCAATACCGAGCAGTTTGATCGATCATGACGAGTTTGGGCACATAGAGGGCATCGGGCTGTGGAGCCGCAGTATTTAACAGGGTGGTCTTGACGCCAACAATTTTTAACATTGATGGGGGGGGGGGTGATATTTTTCAGACAGGGAGGGATTCTCCGCCAATATAAACAACATGGGAGAGGTCGTGTTTACGGAATGTAATGTTGACAATATTGTTGGAGGACTTGTGGCGGCACATAGGGGGAATGATGTAGCATTGTACTGATACTGCACCATAATCCACCAGGCAGGCGAGTGTCTCCCCCACAATTTGACCAATCCTTGTCATAGGACAATTTGTCAGGGAGATGGAGACAGTTCCGGTGTCATTGAGGGTTGGATGAGTCTGGGCAGGAATGGGTTTGCCAGTGAAGTCAGTTAGGGTTGATAAGAGTTTAGCTTGGGATTCGGATGTAACTGCAACAAGGCAGGAACAATTGGGGCGGCTGCAGAAGGAAACTATGCCTAATTCTTTTTGAAGGCATTGTTGGGAGAGGATAGTGTTGTCAGAGTAAGATAAGGGGTTGTAGAAGGGATCACAAAAAATCGATCCCACTTGGCTGGGCTAAGAGTATTCAAAAGATTTGTAGAGGTGGAAGTAGTAGATGGACGAGGGCCCTGTGGAAGAGGGAGTGGCGTAAAGTGAAGTAGCACTGTGGAGAGATGAATAACAAGGCTGCAGAGTAGTAATATGGGAGGGCGTAGAAAAGGGTTTGGGGGTGAGCGAGATGAAGTGAATGATGTTGGGAAAGGGGGAATGTTTCCTGGAGGGTGAGTCATGACCTGGGTGGATGATTTGGACTGGACAAAGGTGATAGTAGGTTTTGAGGATGAGGTTGTAGGAGTGTCCAGGGTCATGGTCAAAGAAGAACCTGGGGTCAGGGAACCAGGAGAATTAAAATCAGTGGGGCTAGTTGATAAGAAGGCAAGTCTCATTACCCCTAATAAAGGTACAAAATCTCAATTAATGGCCATGATAATCCTAGAGTACGTTGGGGAGAAATGGTTTACGCCTCAAGGTCCCCATGAGGAGTGTGTGTAGCAATTTTTTTTTTTTTTTCACTACGTCAATAAAATTCCTGTCTGTTCTGTACTGTGCAGTTATTCAAGCGTCAATCTATGTGTAGATTTTATCTGGCATTATTCAATGGAAAATGTAGCCACCAGTACCGTTTACAGTTTCATGCTATTAGCGAGTCTCCAAATAAGTTTGAAATACGCACATCCTTACAGATTATACTTTACTTTATTATAGTGAACTGGTTCTATTGGAAAATTTTACACACACACACACACATACACACTCCCACTCACTCACAAAATAAACACATACACACACACCACTCCCACTCACTCACTCCCACACACACATGCGCATCACACCACCACGCACACACACACACACAATTACACAAACATAATTACACTCACAAATACTCACACCTTTTTGGCACTACTTTAGTAAATTGCAAAAACAGGTAATTTCATTTCTCACTCTGTGCCCAAAACAGTATACAAACATTTGCTGCATTTTATTTCTGGTACTTATTTCCAAGTGTTGAGAATAAGCAACGAAAATTTCTTATGATTACTTTCATAATTCATTTCACAATGAAGTTTCTATATTAGACATGTTTCTAAAACAAATAGAAATGCGAGAGGGGCTTTAAAAAAATCGAAATCACAACACAACTATCGCAACTTTATTAAATATAAGCATCAACACATACAGTTCCTTTTGTTTACAAATTTAAAAGAAATTGAAATGACAAAATGGTGCAGTCTAACTTTAGACTCTGTGATCTGACAATATTGTTATATTTACAAGTGTTTTGTACAGTTGCTTAAAAGGTTATTATCATAACTTTTATTTCTATATATATAAAAAGAAAAAAAAAAATGCATTTTAATGATTTGTATATGCTACAATAAGACTTCCAAGTCTCTAACACCGTACTAAGTTATGTTAATGTTTTTAAAAAACGTGATGACAAGTTTAAGGAAATATCATCTGTTCTGGTATGATCTACCTACAAAATCATGTCCACCGTTTAGAGCTGATGCAGTTGTCCATCATTTCTTAAATTAGATGATAAAATAATGATTATGAGGATGTTCTCTGAATAAACATAATTAATTTTTTTTGCTTCAACTTGTTTTCACTGAATAAACATAATGAACTTTTTTACTTTCACAGGGCTGAACTTATTTTCAAATAAACAAATCTGTATGACTGAATATAGCTTTTAAATATTTTTTCATTAATCCATTTGCTTCTTTATGAGAAGTCCTAACTTTAATCTGACCCAACTGAGAGCAACATATTCATGAGATCTTTGTTTTTATCCCTCTCTCTTTTTTTTTCTTTTTTTTTTTTTTTACTTTCAGGAGTGTTTATCTATCCTTTACATTCTTCTAAAAATCTGGATCCCACATTTAATTAGATGAAATGAGCGTGTATGAAAATAATAACAAAAAAGTGAAGTCTTTGGTAAAACACCTTGTGAATGTGATGCCTAACCACACAAGTATACGCATTTGTTGCAAGAATATGCTCACAGATATTAACATGTAATACGAGTGCGTGATCCTCTTGTATAAGCTCATTTGTCAAGTCTGATACTGCGAGGTTCAGAAAATGGTCCTAGTCGACTTTTTATGTCTACTGCTCTTACTGCAAAGTGATAAACATGGCCGGGCATGAACTGAAAAGAAAGAAGAAAGCAATCAGAGTTAGAACTTACAAATACTATAATAATGTTAGGACTGTATATTTCTAATGGATACTAGTAATGTCCATACAATATATATCTACACATCTCTGCAAACTATAAGTTTATAGTCAAACTAACAAAACAAACAGATCACACACTCACATGCACCCCCCCCTCCCACATACACACACAGATATACAACTACAAAAGGCAAAAGTAGATTTCTGTATCTTGTGAAATAATAACCTTAAAAAAAAAAAATCTACACAGCATGGATATGCATGAAGCTGAAAATTTATAGAGATAATACCTATGAATGCTGTTTTGGTGGGCTAGTGTGTGAATAGCCAATACTTCCTATGTACATATATTTAATTATCATGTTGCTATTATTGTTATATCTATAGTAATTACTTCAATTACCCCTTGATGCCTGGGAACTTCTGTAGACATGACATGCGGTATAGGTATATAGATGCTGGCCTTTATTCACTCCAATTACTTCCTACTGTCTGCTCCCTCCCGCCCCATGTAAAATTTCTGTATGCCAGCCTCTCCATGATGCAAGCTGCATGATAATTCACACACCTCTAGTTTGGCAAGCTTTTAGTTCAACCTTGCCTGTAATGTATCACAATGTATATAGCAGTGCCTTTCGCTTGTTCATTACGTATTCACAGACGACCTTGCCACATGGAGGGGATAAGTTAAGCCTAGTGCTGGTGGGTTAACAGTAACAGTCATAAAAAAATCCCAATGTTAAATTAATGAGGATAAAAGGACTTGGGTTATTAAGATGATCAAATGTCTTGGTTCTGAAGAGACATTTCAGAAGAGATAATAATCATTATTGTGAAGCCTGAACATGGTTTCTAAAGCACAAATTTCATAGTAGTTCCCTTGACTTTGGAATTCTGATAAAGAAAAAGTCTAACCCATTTTTTTGTATCAACCAGTGAGGGATGGGACTTTGGAAGAGATTAAAAATAATAAAATAAATAATAAAAAATAAATAAATAAATAATAAAAAAAATCAAAAGGAATACTGCTATTTTCCAAAAGAGTGGTTTTTGTAGAGCAAAACAAAAAACAATATAATAAAAGGATTCATAATATTGGATTCAAATCGAGTGAATCACTGCTAATGTAGCCTTTCCCTAATCATGTTTTCCTGATCAAAAATTGTTTTCTATTATCTATTTTGGCTGTTTATTGCTTTTTTTCTTCTTTCTTTTCTTTTTTAGCCTCCGCAAAGTTTTTTGCTATTCTGTGGCTGGAGGGGTGGGGTAGGGATGTGAAAAAATGGACCTTCATAGGCAAAATCTTTGGTTGGCAGGG